TGAACCCTGCACCTGAACCCTGCACCTGAACCCTACACCTGAACCCTACACCTGAACCTTACACCCTACATAGCAGGACAGTATCTCCAACATGCCTGGTCTCGAGGCTTTACTGACTACAGATTGGAGGTTCCCAGGGCCAAACGCAGCATCCTGCAGCACTGAGCCTGATACTCAGTCAGCTTCAGTCTAAGTCACACCTTCATGCAGACTCACACAGAGTCGATGACCTCAGGAGGGAGATAAATTATCACCAGTTCAGCTGTATAAAAGAAGCATGTCTTGCAGTTTGAATATCTCTGCTGTTGTAGAGGAAACATCTTCAGCTACACAATAGAGGGCTGGTTGCCTAAGGTTTTATTTATTTTTACTTCTTGTATTTATCATAACTCTACAGCTGTGTGTAAAAGCATCTTGGAAAACAAGAAAAACACTCAATCAAATGAAGGAAAAAAGTTTTATTAAAAAATGTTTCGACATATTTGACTGATTTATCCAAAAATATTCAGCCACAGTATTCTGGTGCGTTWCAAATCTAAGAGCTCTTTCAGACAGAGACTGGTTCACCCCAAAGCAGAGCTCAGCAGTGAGGCGTCTGCAGTCCTGTGGTACGATGTTCAGACTTTATGTTGATGCTTCACACATGCACGGCTCGACACGGGAAGTCTTTTTACAGAGCAGCACTGACGAACAGTTCACATTCAGACTGTCAGTTCTTCTGTTTGTCCATGAAGGGAGGACAGAACTGAGTTCCACCAGACGCTGCAAAGTGGGCGSAGCTACATAATAACACATGGATCAATAGTCTCTTTAAGGGACCAACAAATCTACTTTTTAAGTATTTCTTTGTAAAATTAACATCAGTTTTTTCAGTTTATTTTTGTTTATTCTGTCATATAAAGACATGCAGAAAAACATTGCTGAATCACTTTTCAAGAGAAACTCGGCTTCATTTCGATGATCTGTAAGGAAACCAAAAAATTGGTCTGTTTCTGAACTTGTTGCTCTTTCATTCTTCTAGCAAACTGGAAAAGAAAAAAAAACGAGTTGGAAATGGAAAAATAAACGTACACTCTACTTTTGTTTGCAGCAAATTCCAAGTCGACAGAGAAAAATCCTGGAGGAGGCTCACGAGCTGAGTGAAGATCACTACAAGAAGTATTTAGCTAAGCTGCGCTCCATCAACCCCCCCTGTGTTCCTTTCTTTGGTACGAACTTTTCTTTCAGTAAAGCTCATAAATATCGACGACAGAGTATTAGGGCCACACAATGAGATTTTTTAAAATTATTATTACGAGAATAAAGTCGTAATTTTACAAGAAAAAAGTCAATATTTACAAAAAAAGTCATAATCTTACATGACGTGTCCATTTTCTGTTCCTCATTTCCTCCTTATTTTCGTCACAGCTGCTGTGTACAGCCATGTGTCTGTGTTTATAAAGTCTGTAATGAAGACCTGGATCGCTGTTATGTTAACATGATTTCATCCAAATTAACTACGTGACGACGAAATCTGCCAATGCATCCATTAATTACAATACAGCTTCAGTTTATCAAATAGTTTGCACAATTTCCAAGTCCTATTTATATTACAACTTTAATCTCGTAATATTACAACTTTAATCTCATAGTATTATGACTTTATTCTTAAATATTATGACTTCATTCTCATAATTAAAAATAAAATAAAATCTTGTGTGGCCCTAATACTTTGTTGTAAATACCAACAAAGCRTCACTAATAAATGTGTGTGACAGGAATTTACCTGACCAACATCCTGAAGACTGAAGAGGGAAACCCTGACTTCCTGCGCAGACACGGTAAAGACCTGATCAACTTCAGCAAGAGGCGGAAAGTGGCTGAGATCACTGGAGAGATCCAACAATACCAGAACCAGCCGTACTGCCTGAGGCTGGAGAACGACATCAGGGTCAGTCTCTGTTCCTGTGTCCTGTTGTTYAAACAAGTTTCAAAACACTTCAAAACCAGATGCTGTGTTTTTGTGGATTAGAAGTTCTTTGAGAACCTGAACCCCATGGAGGACATGTCAGAGAAGGACTTCGCTGATCATCTTTTCAACAAGTCTTTGGAGATCGAACCACGGAACACCCGATCATTACCTCGATTTGTAAGAGACTGACTTTGATCAGTGAACGGTGAGCAGACGGTGTTCCTAATCTGTTTTTATTCCTGTCCCAGGCAAAAAAATACTTCTGTCCTCTGAAGTCTCCCGGGATCCGTCCAACATCAGCGAGGCCGGGCACCATGCGCCATCCAACACCTTTGCAGAATGAGCCCAGGAAGATCAGCTACAGTCGCATCCCAGACAGCGAGGCTGAGGGGGGGGCAGCATCGGCCCCAAACTCCCCCCGTACGCCGCTGACTCCACCCCCCGCCTCCGCCTTCTCCAGCTCCACGGATGTCGGCAGCGTGTTTGACTCCCCGCAGGGTCCCAGCAGCCCCTTCCACTCAAGTAAGGCTGGCTGACATTTACACCTACAGTATGATGTGACGAGTGCTGGCCTCAGCTTCCCACTGTTCGACAAAGATGTGTTGAAATGTAGCGAGAAACAGAGCAAGCTTTGTTTATGTACGGGTTTTGGGTWTATTCTAAAATGGATAATTTGTGAATTATTTAAATACGCAAATTATCTGACCTCGAGGCACCACGCTCTTAATTTGATCAAAAACTAACCCAGGAAAGAGACAAAAAACTGTAACTTTATTGTAATAAGTCTCACAATAAATGTACCCAAAATCGTATGAGTTCTTGTCTTATCAGAACCAATAATACTTTATCAAGACACAAAAATGAGATTAGTTTATGTTGGCACGTTCTCCACGGACCATTTATTTACAAATTAAATGTATTTACAACTATGGCGAGTAATGAATAAGTGATGACATGTTGAACCAGGTAAAAACTGAAAGGGTTTGCAATCACAAGTGAATAAACAAACAAACAAAATAAACACTGAGAGGTGAGTTTGAGGTTTGGAATGAGGTGAGGTGAGTTTTGCTTTTAGCTGGTTTTTTTTAACTAAGGGTCTTAGTTAAATTAGGGAGAAAAATCGTTTAGTTTATCAAATCTCATACAAAGAAAAGAATCAAATTACGTCTGAGCACCTGTTTGTCACCAGGACAAATGTTCACTTTTACCCTTTTGTTCTGCTGATGGCGGTACCAGAAGTAGGCGTCGGCTGACTGAAGGATCTCAGGTGATGTTCCCCAAAGAACTGCGTCAGTGTAGTGGCCGGTCGGACACTCAGGGTGTCTGTTCAGCTGCTGGTCCTTCAGTCAGAAAGGTGGGTGGTGAGCTGGTGACTCGTGGTCCGGTCCTCCCCAGGCGGCTGCAAAACTTATTAATTTGATTTAAACTTTGTAGAGAAAACGAACTAAAAACGACGCATGAATTACAATTAGCTTATTTAACTTCTATAAAACCAAACTCAGATGTTGAGTCGATATTAAATGTTGGCTGTTCGTTCAACCAGCGGGAGATGCAGAAGGACCACCATCCTGCCCAGCCCATGGGGAGGGGCTGGCAGGAAGGGTCTCTGCTGAGCTTCTGGAAAGTGTTTCTGACTTCTGATGTTGAAAAACTTTCTTTCTCTGTCTTCTTCTTCTTTTTTTCTTCTCTGTCGGGAGCTGCACTAACTTTTAAAACCTCTGTCATGGGCGGAGTCAAGGTTTTAGTTGGCCAATAAAAATGTTACACCTTATAC